TTCACGACGTGGTGATTTCGAATGATGGACTGTTAGTCGTTAACGACAACCAGCCCTTCCAGCCTTCCCGAGAACGCATTGTGGTCCCAAGATCAGTCCTAGATGGGCTTATTACTGCTGTGCACATCCGCTTCAACCATCCCAGCACTTATCAAATGAAGCTGCTACTTTCCAGGTATTTTTATGCTCTGAACCTGGATGCTGCAGTTCGTGCCGCCTACGATTCGTGTCACCACTGCATGGCACTCAAGTCTGTTCCCGCATCACTGCAACCGCAGTCTACCGAAGACCCTTCTACTATGATCGGTTCATCATTTGCCTTGGACGTTATGAGACGATATCGGCAATGCGTTTTGCTCCTTCGTGAAACTGTGTCATCGTATACACTGACTTCACTGATCTCCGATGAGAAGCACGAGACATGAGAAGCATGAGAAGCAATGCTATCATCTCGATGTGTGCTAACGTCGCCCTTCAAGGAGAACATGGCGTGCAGATTCGAGTTGATCCTGTTTCCGGACTGGTGGCACTGAAGGACGACCCTGCACTGACCTAGCCCACGGTATACATCTCGTCATCGGACGCATAAAAAATCTGAACAAAAACCCTGTTGCGGAAAGGGCAATCGAGGAGCTAGGCTTGGAGTATCTCAGAATTTCACCAGGGGGCGGTCCTATGACTCCCATGTCGTTAGCAGTAGCTACATCGTCTATGAATTCGCGTATCAGGTGGAACGGTCTTTCGGCCAGAGAAGTATGGACGCAAAGAGATCAGGTTACTGGTCAGCAACTTCCCATCGATGATCGCCAAGTCATCATGAAACAACACTTTTGCTATGTCTCCGTCGTAAGAACAATAACATTCATTGTATAGGTTTAATGCTGGTTTAATAACTCAAACAACAGGTTACAACTTAAACACGGCATCACAGCCAGCGAGGCTGGAGCTGCCACAAACGTCTACGCATAGCTCGCGCTGCTAGCAAGTGCCAGCACAAAGAACCGTTAAGCGCACCTGCTGCGTTGTCTAATGACCTACCGACTCGAAGCCATTTATGCAGACAGCTTGCGCCGTGAAAACAACTTAATAACATAGCGTGATTTATATCAACTTTGACCGTGTATATGCCCAAGGAGCAAGCGCTCACGCTAAATCTCGAGATTTCCAGAGAAACAGCAACTGCGCCCCTCTTCA